TGGCAGAGTATGTGTAAGAAGTTGTAAAAGTATTTTATTGTTTTTTGCAGTTCGAAATTTTTTAATAAGAAATTATTAAACAACTTGTAGTTTATTTGCTGCTGTTATTGTTTCTCTCTGCCCTACAGCAGTGCGAGTGTGTATGTGGGAGTATGTTTGTGTGTGGAAGTATATGTGTGTGTGTTGGAGTATGTGTCTGTGTGTGGGGCGTGGCAACGATGCTTCAACAAGCCGAACAGTTGCTGCGCTGCGCTCGCCAACAATTGTGGTAATTAGTCAACTTGATTGATGAATGCGTTTGCTACAGGCGCCTCACAATTGCTGTAGCATACTTTTGAGGGGCGGGCAGAGTGTTGGGTGGGGCGGGGTCGGACGCACAACATGACAAGAAATTGGAAAATTGGAAAATTCTGTGAAGCGCGCGAGCGCACAGAAATGGAAATGTCAACGTCATTAAAAGACGAAGGCATTAAAACACTTTGCCTTAATCCAACTGTCAGGCATTCAGAAATTTAAGCATTAAATCGCATGCCTGAAATTGTTTTTCCTATACCCTGTAGTCATTAAAAGTGCGTGAAAAATAAAGGGTATAATAAGAAGGTTGCATGGTATATGTATGGATGTTATAGACGAAAGAGAGAGACATTTGATATAAGAGTTCAGCTTATCGAAAAGAAATGAAATTAATATTAAACCAAAAAATCTCGATTACAATTATAAATATTTGTTAGTTATTTGCATATTAACATGTTAATCACTTTTGGTGATGTGTTAGTAGGGTATCTACTAGTCGAGAACAGTCAACACAAACACTCTCACTTATTGGTCTTGTTGCTATTTTTGCTTGCAGTAATAAAGCGCACCGCAGGCATGCGAAAGCCAATTTTCCAAAGCGCGCTGCGGGCGGTGCGACTATTTAATAGCAGCCACACACACACATACACGCACTCACCCACATGCACACACTCACACACATGTATGTTTGCATACATTGAAGCACTTTGTAGAGCGTCGGCAATAAAAATCCAAGTCTGTAGGCAACCTGGCGTCACCTGGCACGACACCGTGCCCCGCCCCGCATCGTTGCGGCTCAACTCAACTCAACTCAGACTTCCTTCTGCTCCCCCGGCCCCCTCCTACCAAGTCTCATCATGCGCTGCGGTTGTAATTTAGTGTGCCTAATGAATTTAGTACCGTTACATACCGGAAAAGAGCACGTGAGTGCAAAAATGCGCACTCTAGCTGGAATCTCCACACGTGTGCGAGTGTGTGTGTGTGTAGCCGTATGTATGTATTTGTGTGTGTGTAAATGTGTAAGAAATCTGCGCGTTGGCAAAACTTCGTTAACCTTTATTAACGACTCGAACTGTGAATAGGGTAGGGAGCGAGCGAGCGGGTTGCCAGGGTTAGCGTCTAATTAAAACAGACAAATGTGAGCAAAAAGAGGAAGAAAACAACCAACCAGGCCATATGACTTTATAATATTGTGTGTGTCTGCGTGTGTGTGTCTGCGTGTGTGTCGTTTAAAATTAACAATTATTTTTAATTGCCAGCCAGGATCAAATGAGGTGTCGATGGGGCAGGCTACCGTTGCAGGCTGAAAATGAGGCCAACTTAATTGGCAGCCTGAAAGTGGGCTTTCAATTTCTATACACACACACACAGACACACACACACACAGACACACACACAAATTGCTTAGCTCAGGCCTCATTAAATATTATCCAAGTTGTTATTGTTACTTTGCCCGTTCTTGAGCTAGTTCAACTTACTGCCAATTGGCTGAACATTTTCGAAAAACTTGTCAACAAGAATTCGCTTAGATTAGATTGCAGGAAAACAGGCACTGAGGCATATCAATTGAAAGCAGTAGCAGCAGCAGCATCATCAGCAGGAGCAGGATGAGGAGAAATCGCAGCTAGGAGCAGCTCCTGTTGGCCATTGTTGGTTATTTACACGGGCAGCGTAGCATAAAAGTTAAAAGTAATTTCCTTAAGTGAATATAAATGTTTAAAATCTAGGCAAGAATAACAACAGAAGCAACTGCCCGCTCGGCCTGGCAAGCGTCGCCTGTTTAGATAAGCCAGGCCAAATTTAAAAGCAAAAACAGTGCCGTGTGGCCATAAGGCTGGGTTGCCAACGACCAAAGGACGGGGCACTAGCTGTTATTTCGACTCGGTTAACTTGGCCGCCAGCGGGCGAAAAGTGCTTAAAGTTTTATGCGAAATAGAAGTTGGCTTTACAAATATTCAGCAGAAGCAGCAGCAGCAGCCCCCGCTAACCCAGCACCTTGCACAAATACAAACACATATCTATACACATCCATCTATATCCTCGCTTAGCCGGGGCTATGCTAAAATCAGGAGTTGAGATTTAAACGGATTGTGGCACACGCCGCTTGGGCATTGCAATTGGCTGTACAACGTATCGTATACTCAATGCAACCAGTACGTGTTAACGCTGCCGCCTAATGGCTTAGCTTCATTGGGGACGGCACTGCAAATCGGTAAATAGTTGCTGAGAACTACCTCATCCGATTAGCACTTAAGCCAGCTCCACCAGCAATAGTATTAAAAGCTAAGTGCAATCAATTTGGTGAACAAAAACTAATAGTTAAGTCGGCTGGCAAATAAATCTAAATCATATTAAAAGTGTTTAAAAGCCAGCTGCGCCTAAAGGTTGAATCTTGCCAAAGTTGTTTTGATCGTTGGCCTATTTGGCTTGATTTTTAAACTATAAGTTAAACCTTTAAAACACATTAAAGCTTTTGATGGAATTGTGTTGAGCAGAAATAATAAAGCAAAACTTAATTAGCTCTACCTTAAGCTCATTGCATATTAAATGCTTTTGAATTAACTGTGTTGAGTAAAAAAACTAAAGCTCCCCTGCAGCGATTAAATCGTTACTATAACGTACGTGTTAAACGGCTTCAGCTTAAGCTTAATATCAGGAAAAAGCTTTTTAATTTACTGAAAGCTTTAGCTGGAATTCAGTGCGTTGAGTATTAATAAAAGAACCTTACAACTAATTAAGCACGTATCAACTGAAAGATTCAAATATTACGAGTTCACTATATATGAAGAGCTTTTGAATTAAACTTGTTGGGTATAAACAATAAATCTCACTTATATTCTGTTAATCGTATACAATAATATACATTTTAACTAATAGCTATGAGAATATGAATAACGTGCTTTTTAAGCGCCTGAAAGCTCTCTTAAGTAAATTATAAAAAGGTTACTTCAAAATTGAATCTCTTATAATATACCAAAGAAATTAAGAAGCTTCGTTCGAGCTTTCATTTTATAAGCTTTACAATTAAATGAACATTTTTAAAAGCTGTTTAAACTCATCCCATTGATTGGTGGAATAATCTCCTTTACCTTTAACATTACAAGTATTTAAAATATTTCACGAGAAATCAAAAGGTGGCCAAGCGTAGAAAATGCACTTGCAAAAGGAAATTCAATATCTGTAATTATAATTATTTACTTTGCCCGAGGCGCCAATGAAAATTTCATCATTGTTGTAGGCTAATTAAAAGCAAATGGCAAGTAAATTGTTCGCCTGCGGGCGGCGAACTCACAGCAAAAAGTCACCAAATTGGAAATCAAATTACAGCGCGTATAATTTAATTGGCTTATCAAAATTTCATTCAAAAGCAGCTGTCGTAGGCAGCAAAATTATGGCGTCAGACCCGAAAGCGTCGGCTAAAAGCCGAAATGCAGCTAACTGAAAGCCAACTGGCCAAAAACAAATGGCCAAGTGAAGACAGCGAGAGGACAACAAGAAGAGCAGATGAAAAGTTTTAATTGAATTCCCTTTCAAAAATCTTTCTAATGGGCACAATTTAATTGTCAACAGGACCAAAGTCCTTCGGCCGCCTCAAAGTTGCTTAAAGCTTTAAACGACACTCGAGTGCATGACAAATTCATTAAATGCACAAAGCTCCCGTAAAGTGCACGTCGCCCACACGGTAGCCAAAAGAATGAAAACCCAGTAACATTTTACAACATTTTATACACTCCCTGACCGTAATTACACCACAGAGTTGCCAAAGAGAGCTCGTGGAACCCGGTCTGGGGATGCGGCTGCTGCTGCGGCTGCGGATGAAACCCGCTTTCCAAAAGGTTTTCAGGTGTGATTACTGAAGGTGCGTGGGGCTGTGCCAGACACATAATGCAACATTACAGGGGCAAACGAGCAAGGTAAGGATGCATAGCGCCGACTCCTCACAGGCCCTCTCACATGACCAGCTCATTTGTACTCTCCTTTGTGGAGCAGATGAGTTGTTTTCGTCCTTTTCTCCAGCCAGCTGCTGCAGCTGCTGCTGCTGCTGGACTTGTCGTTCACAACTGACGCGACAGTCATTCCATCCATCACATGCCACAATTAAATTGAAATTCTCTTTTCGTCACACGCGGCCTATGTGTGGAGCCTTTGCTTTATGCGTCGTCTATGAGGGCTGCCTCGATAAAGGGCGTTACTTGAATTATGAACTGTGAGAACTTTTAATAAAGTTTATTTTTCCATTCATTTTTCGAAAAGAAAAATCATTCAAAATAGTCAATAATTACCTTTATCTGAAATAATGGTTTATATTTGGAGTGTCAGGAAAAACCTTCTACATTTTAATCAAGAAAACTTTTTGTGGCAAAGAAAAAGCCGCCTTATGGGAATATATTTAAGGCTTGAGAAGGGTAACATATGAATTGCGGCGTTGGATCAATAAGGTTTATTACCAAAAAATTACAACCCCGAAATATTAAGGCATACAAGAATAAGAATTTATCTTTATTGCTAACTGAGCACTTTAGCAACAAACTACTTTGAAGGAATATTTATGCTGTGGATATGTTAAGGCCAGCTTTTCTTTAGGTTCGCCTGCTATAAGAAAGCAGGCATAAATAAAAGTTGCTAAAATTCATAGATAAAATTAGTCTTCATATTAATAACGCATTTTTTTAATAAGAAAAACACATTTTTTGTTCTGCTTTCAGCCTGTGAAGGACAACAAGTGCAACAGGATGCGAGCCGTAAGCGCAGCAGCGCCCACATTGCTGCTGGTGGTGTTTCTCCAGGCTCTCAACTGGCAGCTGGGCGTGGCCGTCTTTGGGCGCGACGATTGCCGAGATCTGACCATCTCGTCTTGCGAGTGCGCACCAGCTCTGTCCGAGTATGAGCTCAACTGTCCCGGCAATAGCTACAATCCCAAGTTCAAGATAACCATACGACCCGGCTCGACGGTGCAGATCGAGTGCAATCTGACGGATGCCTCGGAATACAAGCAGATGCCGCAGCTGAAAATTGGCAGCATCGATATGGTGCAGATCAGGCGCTGTCCGCTGCCCTATCACACGCCGATAGCGGGCATTATGGATCATCTGGGCATCAAGGACACCAAGGTGCTCATCTTTGAAGGCAACGATCTGGGCATGAATGTCACTCGCAAGCACCTGGAGCGCCTACAGAATCTGCAGCGGCTGCGCTTTGCCGCCCGCCGCTTGCCCTACGTCCCGGAGGATTTGCTGCGCGACATGCATCACCTGAACTGGCTGGATATGCGTGCCGCCAATCTGGGTGAGCTGCCTGCCCGGCTGTTGGCCAACATGGAGAACTTGCAGTTTCTCGAGCTGGGCAGCAACAATCTGAGACAGCTGCCACGCGGCCTCTTTCACAATCTGCACAAGCTGCTGCACCTGAACCTGTGGAGCAATCAGCTGCACAATCTCAGCAAGCACGACTTCGAGGGCGCCACCTCCGTGAGGGATGTCGATCTGCATAACAATGGCATTGTTCAGCTGCGGCCCGATGTCTTTGCCTTGCTAACCAATGTCACAGAGATCAATCTGAATGGCAACAACTTCCGCTCGCTGCCCGAGGGTCTCTTCGAGCACAACCAGAAGCTACAGCAGGTGAAGCTGCAAAACAATCGCGTACCCCTGCCCACGCTGCCCGCTCGCCTCTTTGCAAACCTGCCCGAACTGCGCACCCTGTACCTGCGCTGTGAACTAGAAACAGTCTCTGAGGATCTCATAGAGAACTCGACGGCACTCACAGACATCTCGCTGATGGATAATCTGCTAAGCACTCTGCCCGTTAAGCTGCTGGAGCATCAGGTGAATCTGGTGAATTTGGATTTGCACAAGAATCGTTTGAGCCATTTGCCCGACGGCATCTTTAACTATTTGTCCAAGTTGGAAAACTTAAATCTGGCTGAAAATCAACTCACCGAAATTTCCAGGTAAGCTAAACAGTAAACGATTCCCAGAATACTTGCTTAAAATTGTACTTAGAAATTGGATTAATCAGCTTTCGTAAAACAAAACCTTTCCTTACCTTTTTTTTGGGTTAACAGAAAAACATTAGGCATATTTTATTGTAAAAGCTTTTTATTACTAAGCATTACACCAGCATCTGTTAGAATTGCTTTAAGGTACAAATACTTAAAGCTCTAAATATATCTAAAATTTTATTCATCTTTATTTGAACTAAATAATACGAAAATACTTGTAACAAAAGTTGAGGGCTGCTTGGTTCGTTAATTGCGGTATAAAAGAAAGAGCTTTAATCACGAAGATCTTAAAGCTTTTTATTACAAAGAAGACTACGTGCATTGTATTGTATTTGGCGTAAGCAAATTGAGATAAATTAAAGCGTAAAGCTTACACTTGCACACAGACCTTCTCTTGCTGTAGTGTTACTTTACGAAAGCTTTTAAAATCTGATTAATACCACTTTAAGCCAGTGGCATTGAGTTCAAGCATCTCGTACTAAGCCCTTTTTCCTTCCTCTCCATCTCTCTTGCAGCAAACTGTTCAGCAAACTGGTGAATCTGAAAACACTCCGCATGAACGATAATCAGCTTGTGAACATTCGACCCCAGGCCTTTGCCAGCAATGTTTTGTTGCGTCAACTAAATATGGCCAACAATCGCATCAATCTGCACGAGTATCTGACGGTGCACGGAGTGGATGTGGATCTAGGTTCACCTTTCGCCCCTCTGCGCAATTTGACGACGCTCAACTTGCGCAACAACTCCCTCATGGTCATCTTTAGCGACTGGAAGTATGCGATGCGCGAGCTGCAGGAGATAGACTTGAGCTACAACAATTTCACCTGGCTGGACTACTCCGACCTGGACTTTGTTTCCGCATTCGATCTGACCATCAATATGACCCACAATCAAATACGCACCGTGCACTTCTACAAGCAGACCGAGTTCCAGCCCATTGACAAGGGTCTGCGACTGGTGCATGGCGTGAAATCGGTCAAAGTGGATCTCAATGATAATCCTCTGGTCTGCGATTGCACCCTTCTGCGCTTCCTGCAGGTGGTGCGCGGCGATATTCAGCCGGATTACGCCAAGAATTTGGTCACATATACGGATCGATTGAACTGCCAGTCGCCGAGTTCCTTGGAGAATCGTCCCATGCGCTCCGTGCATCCACGTGAGCTGCTCTGCAATTTTGACCAGGCGGAAGACCCGAATGAGAGACGCTGCCCACGCGGCTGTGATTGCCTGGTGCGCACCTTTGACGCCACGCTAATTGTCAACTGCTCCAATGGGGACTTGACCAAGGTGCCCAAGCTGCCACGCCTGCCCCCGAATCTGTTGGAAATGGAACTGTATCTAGAGAACAATACGCTGCTCAAGTTGCCGATCAGCAACGCGCCTGGCTACGAGAATGTGACTAGCCTACATCTGGCGGGCAACAATCTCACCCAGCTGGAGGCGGTCCAACTGCCCAGAAACCTAAAGTACTTAGATGTGCGTCGCAATCAACTGCAGGTGCTCAACTCAACGCTGCTCGGCTACCTGAACAGCACCATGAACAACAACAACCTGACGCTGCGTCTGTCCGAGAATCCTTGGGTGTGCAACTGCGAGGCCATGGAACTGTTGCTCTTCACCCAAAATAAATACAAGCGTATACCGGATCACACGGAGATGTTCTGCATGGATGCGGAGATGCCCACACGCCTCATGGAACTGAATATCAATGATATATGCCCGCGACCCCTGTTCATTGCGCTGATTGTGGTCATCTCGCTGACCGGCTTCCTAGTGGGCATCAGCGCTGCCCTCTACTACAAATACCAGCAGGAGATCAAGATCTGGCTGTATGCGCACAATCTGTGCATGTGGTTCGTCACCGAGGCGGAGCTGGACAAGGACAAAAAGTTCGATGCATTCATTTCGTATTCGCACAAGGATCAGAGCTTCGTGGAGAAGCACCTGGTGCCGCAACTGGAGCATGGTCCCCAAAAGTTTACGCTCTGCGTGCACGTGCGCGACTGGCTGGTGGGCGGCTTCATACCCGAGAATATTGTACGCTCCGTCGCGGACTCGCGGCGCACCATCATTGTCCTGAGCCCGAACTTCATCAAGTCCGACTGGGCGCGCATGGAGTTCCGTGCGGCGCACAGGGCGGCACTGAATGAGGGACGCTCGCGCGTGATTGTGATTATCTACTCGGACATCGGGGACATTGAGCAGCTGGACGATGAGATGAAGGCGTACCTAAGAATGAACACATATCTGAAGTGGGGTGATCCGTGGTTCTGGGACAAGCTGCGATATGCACTGCCGCATCGTGCACCCATTGGCAATTCCGGTAACGGAGCGCTGATCAAGTCGGCGCTGAAGGGCTCCACAGATGACAAACTGGAACTGATCAAACCATCGCCTGTGACGCCGCCGCTGACCACGCCGCCTGGCGAGACCACCAAGAATCCCCTGGTGGCACAGCTCAATGGCGGCACCCCGCACACAGCCATCATGATTGCCAATGGCAAGAATGGCCTTACCAATCTGTATACCCCGAATGGCAAGGCACACCATGGCAATGGCCACATCAATGGCGCCTTCATCATCAACACAAACGCCAAGCAGAGCGACGTATAGAACTGGCACAAAGTGGAGCCCGACGACGAGGAGCTCCTGTTTCACTGAGGCATTCAATCCTTACGCTATGACCAATTCCGAATCCAGCTGAATGTATAAAAGAAAAACTAAAACAAAACAAAGTCTAGACAACATTTTTGTGGCCAATTCAAATTGCACTCAAATTTATTTCTTTAGATATATATGTGTGTGAGTGTGTGTGTATGCGTGTGACTGTGTGCGTGTATGTGCATATGTATCTGTGTTTTGGTCTAGTTCAATTCTGTAGAATAACTTTACAAGAAACGCATCTGCTGCTCGTAATTCCAATGCACAAAATTGGTGAAAATTTCAATTTTCAATATTTCATGTGGCCTTCGTTGACATAAAAAAAGAAAGAAAATGGAAAATCTAAAAAAAAAAGGATATTAAATTTACAAACTGAAAAAATGAACAACTTGAGCTAGTTGAGAGTTAAGAGAGCTTATCATTCTGTTTAGTGTTATGTATATGTAAGTTAAGCATAGTAGAGCCTAATTATTTTGTACATTATATAATTATGATATTGTATATGCTATCTTTAAGTTTAACGCACGCAAAGCTAGAGGAAGCTCACAATCGAAATAATTTTATTTTATTTTGAGGATTAACACATTTAATTTGTTTGCACGAATCTCAAGTTTTACTTAACTTTTGAACAAACGGAGCTTTATTTTTTGTACAATCTATATTATTTGTTATAAGCTATTGATTAATGCACATGCAATATACATACATATGACGTATCCAAAAAGTAGCATATAAACTATGCCGTGTACTGAATGTAATTAAAACAAAAATAAAGAAATAATCCATAAGAATCTATATGCATAGTTATATCATCTAACTTTGTATGTCTCGATGCCCACTTAGATAAGCGAGTTTATTGAAAGCACCCAACAAGAAATTACCTTTGTACATAAAGTAAATGGAAACGTTTTTATATTTCCACAAAACTGTCACTAAAACTATATATGTAAATGCAAAGGCATCTCTATCATGACGTTATTAGCTGAGTACTCGTAAATGTCCCTCATACACGGCATAATACATATTTACTACATACATCACTTTATTAACCTTACCCAATCATATACATTTTTCTTCATTTTCACATTTCAGTAATATAGTAAAAGTACATAATACGCATAAATGGTATGTTATATAAATTGTAATTAGCATTAAAGAAAATAACGTATAAGTAGATATGTCATGTCTCTGAAATGTATTGCCTAAGGTACCTACAAATTTATTGCAGACACACTCATTTACTTATACAAAATGAATACATACATATTATGTACATCATTGAATGTATTTGTGTACAAGAGTATGTCAAGTATACAAGTACAATAAATAAAATATATTTTAAAAATCAAACAACTGCCTTATCTATATGTATACTATATAAAACGGATTTTCATCTCGAACTGGCTGAGTAACTGTTCCTCTATCAACGTAGAACCCAAGCTAAAAAACCTAGAAGTCTGCATAACTAGTTACTTGAAGGTATGTCTTAAAAAATACCACCCGCCAGCATTGAAGAGCTGTATGGAACTATATTGTTCCTTATCAAACTTTAATATTTAAAATTCGCGAAATCAAAGCAATAATCAATGCTGGGTTAAGATAATTTGCATTTGAGAAAGCCTTGCTGTGTCTAATCTAATCTAGGAAATAGATTGGGATAAACATTTACTGATAACAGAAAATTAAGATCTAATTTATTGAATGCCACTCGATAGCCTTTTCAAACAAAAATAAATAAAAAAACAACCAACAATTAAAATTTTGATCGTAAATCCGACCCCATGTTAGCTAAAATTATGATATCGATATCGATATCCTGCTTCTTGGGCAATTTTGGTAAATAATAAGAGCTAGATTCACCAAACTTGGCATATAGCTTCTAAAATAGAATATATATATGCATTTGATGTTGGAAGAAGAGAAGGAAGCTCCCGACTAGAACATCTTACTTGTTTAATATTATGTTCATGCAAATGGCTTGGGTATGCAAAGTAAGTATATCGATTTAGATAAAGCTGCCTATTTATATGGCTTGAATAAATCCAGTGGAGAGAGCTCGATTGGGACAGTATTTCATTTAGCATAATTTAATGAATCTCACTTGAGATATTCCAAAAAAGGTGGACTTTGCAATCGAAACGTTTTTTGGCCAACAACTTTTTTTTAATGAATGCCAAATGATAGTAGGGATCCGTACGCATTCAAAAAGGTATAACATTTTAAAATGAGATTATATTTACCCGAGATTTTCAAAAAATCGTCAAACAAGTTGAGATATTCGAACCTACCCCGATTTTGGAAAAAAAAAACATGACCCCTCCGCGCGGAAATATGACGTTCCAAAACGACATAACTCCGCGCGGAGATGTGACGTTCCAAAACGACACAACTCCGCGCGGAGATATGACGTTCCGAAACGACATAACTCCTCGCGGGAGATATGTCGTTCCAAAACGACATAACTCCGCGCGGGAGATGTCGTTCCAAAACGACATAACTCCGCGCGGGAGATATGTCGTTCCAAAACGACATAACTCCGCGCGGGAGATATGACATTCCAAATCGACATAACTACGCGCGGAGATATAACCTTCCAAATCATCACGCTTTTTTTTCAAAATAGAGGTCGGTGCGAAAATCGAAACTTTTTCGACGATTACACCCTGAACCCATCAAAAATGGGTATAAGGGCATATTGTATTTGTGCAAAATCCAAATGTATGTAACAGGCAGAAGGAAGCTTCTCCGACCCCATAAGGTATATATATTCTTGATCAGCATCAATAGCCGAGTCGATCTAACCATGTCTGTCTGTCCGTCCGGCCGTCCGTCCGTATGTATGAACGCAAGGATCTCAGAACCTATAAGAGCTGGAGACTGAAATTTTAGATGTAGGTCCTCCTAGTGCCTGCGCAGATCGAGTTTGCTTCCGATAATCGATAACTTACTCCGTTTCCAAGCAATCGATACAAATCGATATCGATATCATGTTTTTTGGGCAATTTTGGTAAATAATAAGAGCTAGAGTCACCAAACTTGACATATATCTTCTAAAATAGAATATATATATGCATTTGATGTTGGAAGAAGAGGGTTGGGGGTATCCCCTAGTCGGGAGCTTTCGACTAGAGCCTCTTACTTGTTTTTTCATCAATGTTTCCAAAACCTAGTTTTAGTGATTACTTCACCTTGTTACTTACCGTTCAGGACGTCAAATTTGTAAGATTTACAATTCGTCTATTCCGTTGGAGCTTAAGAAAAAGTGGTACCCAAGAAAGTTAAGCTTAGCGAAGAGCTTCATTCAGATAACTCTAATCCACAAGTACAATATCATAAAACAATGTCAAAAATATGTTTATATATTTATTTTTGCTTATGTTTTTCAAATTCTTTTTATACAGAGTATATATAGAATTACATACATTTATGTTGTTATTTAAATTGAATTATTTTACAGCCGGCTTAATAAACTAAAAAACAAAAGTAAAAACGTTATACAACAAAAAAAATTAAGTACACATCGCCCAGTCTCATACAATAAAACGACTAACAAAAAAATGGTGTCAAACATTTATCCGCAGTGTTGATTTTAAGATGTCGAATAAAAACCTGCAGTTGGATGTTCGAAACAGCAAAAGGGTTTGCTTACACATAACTAAAAGTAATGTTGCTTGGAAAAATACTTTAAGAGTTAAAAATCAATTGTCGCATGCAATTCTCTATTAGCAATTCGCTACATATATGTATATATGTATGTATATAGTAAAGTTTGTGGCTACGGGGCCTTATTGGGGTTTTGCCTTTACATATTTGAAGTGCAGGTATATAAAATATATAATATTGTTTAGGCATATACATTAATAGTTCCATTAAATTGGGTTTGTATGTTTGTCGTTGTCATCCAGACGTATTGTACATAAGTAAGTACATAATAGCTTTCATCAATACAATTCATTACTTGTCTACTATCAGTTTTTAATTCACAATCAGTTGCGTTTTCTGTCTTTGGTGTTGAACGTTCCTCACTTTGGGATTTCTCGTCTTTTTTTTTTTAATTTTAATTTTGTCTATGTCACTTGGTTAACTTTCTATAGCAATCAGTGCGTGCCACAGCCTCGTGACTCGGTGTAGCCTTCTAAAGTAGCATATCATCATCGCTTTCGGTAAACTCTCCATTCGGTTCCAGAAGCAAATTAGCCTCCTCATTCGAATGTACCTGCAATAGAATCATTGGTTGGACAATGGCAAAACAATTGCTGATTAGTAAATTATACCCTGGAATATCGCACCGCTGAGCCGCTGCGTCGGAAGAGTCGACGCACGCGCTGCCTTCGCGCCGGCGAGAAGGCAAACATTCCCACGCATGCCACAAAGAATGTCACCGACAAGATAATGCCCAGGATACCTGTTAATGTAATGATGTCAACTGCTGCTAAAGGATCTTGGCTAGCTGCACTTACTGCCCACGGAGGCCGTTGGGCTGGAAACAGCTGCCACTATTGGGAATGTTGCAGCAGTTGTTGCTGCTTCGGCTGGCTTACCCGTTGCCGTCGCCGGCGTGCTAGTGGTGGTGCTGCTAGTTGTTGTACTAGGGGTAGTCGTGGTGGTGGTGTGGTCTCCGGCATCCTGTGGCGGCACGCTGAGACCCAGAAACGAACAGATGCTCGGGGTGCGCTGCACATAAAGCAAACTACACTGTGTGTCCTGCAAACGAGAGTCTTGTAATTAGAAACTTTCTTCATTAAGTGCAAAGAAAAATAATAAATAACTAAATTGATATGGAGAAAAATACATAAATTTCAACCGAAAGGCAATTGCTCGACGCGCCGCGACACGCTCCCGCTCGACCCATTGCCGTTTACAAAAGCTCTGAAAATTGTAGCGCAACAACTGTTTGCAACTTGTTTGCGCGCCCACAGCCCCAAGTCCGGACTCCGATCCAACCCGGTCTGCCCAGCTCCATCTACAGGGTCGTTGTCGCACGCCATCCGTCCGGCTGCACGCTGCGTGTAACACTTTCGGCCAAAGACCATTTCCGGCGCGGCCAACAGGAGCAACAAGAACCAGAACATGGCAGCGGGAGAAACAGCAACGAGGC